GTCAGCGATGACCTCGAAAATGGACACCGACGGGAAACTGAAGGACGACAAAGGAAAAGGACTGGTAGCGTGTGTCGAAGGCGGAGAGAAAACTCCGACCAGTGTTGCAACATCGGGTGAGGGGTCTAACTTGCTCTCGAATGCGATTGCACCAGTGTTTGATCTCCGATTACAAAAACCCAATGGGAAGAGAAGCAGAGGCCGATCCAAACTTGGGAGGAATTCCGAGTACTTCTGTTGCAGCGGTTTCGACCCACCATGGATGGGACACTGAGCGATCGCCTCGTAGCTGTCCGACAAGAGATGACAGTGAGGGATTTCCGGCGAAGATTCGAGAAGGCTAGCGGAACGATTGATGGCGTGCCGGCGTTCCTTCTCGAGAGTCTGTTCCTCAACGGGTTGAAGGAAGGGTTGAGAAAAGAAGTACGTGTTATGAAACCAAAAGGGTTGAAGGAAATTATGCAGATGGCCCAATTGATTAAAGATAGAGATGGAGTCGGCCCAACTCTCACGGCCCACGAGGAGAAAATGGGCACTACGGTAGGGGTCGGACCGTGGCCTTTACTTCGACCCTTTCCAATCCTTCTCGAAACGGTGAGAGTAGACCTAAAGGGGGTGACACGTCTACAACAGGGGGCCAATTTCGTCGACTCTCTGATGCGGAACTGAAAGCGAAAAGGGAAAAAGGGATTTGCTACAGATGTGACGAGAAGTATTCCCTGGGGCACCGATGCAAGAAGGAGCTACAGGTCTTGGTGGTCCAAGAGGTGGAGGCGGCGGGCGATGAATTCCAGGATGCTGTCGATACAATTTGCGAAACAACCGACAAAGAAGGAATGGAATTTGCAATGCTATCGCGAAATTCGTTCGTTGGACTGGATTCCCCGAGGACGAAAACGCTGAAGGTGAAGGGAACGGTGGCGGGGAAAGAGGTCGTAGTCATAATTGACAGTGGTGCTTCCCACAATTTCATTGATGTAGAGTTCGTTCGAGGTCAACGCCTTCCAATCAGTGAGACAAGGGCTATGCGATTGTGCTGGGTACGGGAGAAGAAGTGACATGTTCAGGAGTCTGTAAGGCCATCGAGGTTATTTTTCCAAATATTTCTGTAATTCAAGAATTTCTTCCCAATTCCGTTGGGCGGTGCCGACGTAATCTTAGAGGTCCAGTGGCTCTCCACCTTAGGAGACGTCACCTTGAATTGGAGGAGTTTGGCGATGAAATTTGCATTGGGGACTCGACGGGTGATGCTGCACGGAGAGACAAGTCTTCAGCGGACCCAAGTGTCCTTTAAATCGATGCTGCGTACAATTAAGAAGGAGAGACAGGGGGTACTCATTGAACTCCACTCTATTCTTTCTAACCCCTTACATCATGGTGATTCTCGTACAGGGCAGCTTGCCATTGAATTACGGCAAGTTTTAGAGAGTTTTGCTAAGGTTTTTCAGCCTCTCGAGGGCCTACCCCCCTCTCGAACTCGTGATCATGCCATCAAGCTAGATCCGTCCACGGGACCAGTCAATGTTCGGCCTTACCGGTATCCACAGTTTCAAAAGGGGGAGATCGAAAAGCTCGTTCAGGAGATGTTGTTGGCCGGGATTATACAGCCCAGCTCGAGCGCCTTCTCTGGCCCGGTTCTATTGGTGAAGAAGAAGGATGGTAGTTGGCGTTTTTACGTGGATTATCGGGCCTTAAACTGAGTCACAATTCCGGATCAGTTCCCTATACCGGTGGTGGATGAGCTGCTAGATGAATTATTTGGCGCCACCTTATTTTTCAAGATTGATTTGAAGTCGGGGTACCATCAGATTCGGGTGCGCCCGAGTGATATCCATAAAACAGCATTCCGAACGCACGATGGACATTATGAATTCCTCGTGATGCCGTTTGGCTTGCGCAACGCTCCTTCGACTTTTCAGTCTTTGATAAATGACATTTTGCGCCATTTTCTCCGTAAGTTTGTTCTTTTGTTTTTTGATGACATCTTAATTTATAGTGCCACTCTACAGGACCATGCTCAACATCTTCGTTTAGTTCTACAAACTTTGGAAGAGCATCAGTTGGTGGCCAATGAAAAAAAATGCTTGTTCGGGATGCCACAAGTTGAGTATCTTGGCCACATCGTCTCCGCGGACGGCGTTGCCGCTGACCCCACCAAAATTACAGCTATGATCGACTGGCCCGAGCCCACCAATATTTGAGAACTTCGGGGCTTCCTTGGTCTCATCGGCTATTACCGGAAATTTGTTCAGAATTACGGCGCCGTCGCCTTTCCTTTGACTTAGTTGCTAAAAAAAGATAACTTCTGTTGGTCGACAGAAGCCTCTGTGGCTTTTCAGGAATTGAAGCAACGCATGTTGACAGTACCGGTCCTCGGCCTTCCTGATTTCTCGAAGCCATTTGTGGTTGAAACCGACGCATCCGGTGTCGGGTTGGGGCGGTTTTGATGCAACAACAACGACCAATTGAATATTACAGTCATGCCTTATCTACGAGTCACCGCCACAAGGCGATCTATGAGCGGGAATTAATGGCGGTTGTTCTGGCAGTACAGAAATGGTGTCCATATCTTCTGGGTCGTCGGTTTACGGTCCGCACAGACCAGAAGGCCCTGAAGTTCCTCTTGGATCAGCGTGTAATTCCCGGCGAGTATCAGCGTTGGATTACTAAATTGATGGGTTATGATTTTGCAATCGAATATAAGCCCGAGTTGGAGAATAAGGCTGCTGATGGGCTCTCCTGCCGATCCGATTTTGCTTCTTGTAGTGCCTTGTCCATGGTGGGGGGCCTTAATATATCCGTCCTTGCACAAGAGGCATTAGAAGATGATGAATTGTCTCAGATAGTCACTGCTCTTCAGAATGGGCACCCTACACCAGAAGGATATATGCTGCGGCATGGGATACTGTATCGTCAGGGGCGGCTGGTTCTTTCCCCCAAATCTCCATCCATTCCTTTATTGCTGTAGGAATTTCATTGTTCTCCGGTGGGCGGGCATATGGGTTTTCTTAAAACCTTGGAGCGCCTCCGACGTGAGATTTATTGGAAGGGAATGCGTATCCAGGTCCGTCGTTTTTGTAGTGATTGTACTGTTTGTCAACAGGCTAAGTACTTATCCTTGGCCCCCACGGGCTTGTTACAACCCTTGGCTATTCCCGAGCGCATTTGGGAGGATGTCTCCATGGACTTTGTGGAAGGGTTGCCACGGTCGGAAGGGTTCAACTGCATTCTAGTGGTTGTGGATCGCTTATCTAAATATGCTCACTTCATCACTCTCAAACATCCTTTTACGGCAGTACTTGTTGCTCAAACTTTTGTCAAGGAGGTTGTTTGCCTCCATGGAATTCCCCGAAGTATTGTCTCTGATCGGGACAAAGTTTTCACCAGCTTGTTTTGGGAGGAGTTGTTTCGCTGCTTAGGAACGTCCCTCTGCCATAGCACGGCTTATTACCCGCAGACGGATGGCCAAACCGAGGTTGTTAACCGTTGTCTCGAGGCCTACCTCCGCTGTTTCACTATGTACACCCCCTCCAAATGGGTAAAGTGGCTATCTTGGGTAGAATTTAGTTACAACACATCCTACCACTCTTCCACACGRTTATCCCCATTCGAAGCGGTGTATGGCCAACCTCCGCCACCCCTTCTATCCTATGAACCTGGTACATCCCGTCTCCCTTGTGGACCAACAACTCTTTGATCGGGATGCCATGCTGAAACAATTGAAGGTCCATTTATTGGCTGCCCAACAACGTATGCGTGATCGAGCGAATTCCAAATGCAGAGATGTAGAGTTCAGCATAGGTACGTGGGTGTACTTGAACCTGCGACCATACCGCCATAGCAGCTTGAGCTTTCACTCCAATGCCAAGCTTGCACCACGGTTCGTTGGCCCGTTTCGTATCTTGGAACGCGTAGGTCTGGTGGCATATAAGCTCGCGTTACCTGAGACTGCTACTATTCACCCGGTATTTCACGTATCTCAGCTTCACAAGGCGGTCGGCAACACTTTTACTGTTATTCCTCTTCCCCAGACCCTAGGGGCCGAAGGGTGGTTGACTGAGCAACCCGTGGAAGTACTTGGCGTTTGGGCACGAGGCGATCAACCAGATGCTTGTGACGTACTGATTCAATGGGAGGGAAGGACCTTGGAGGACGCTACTTGGGAACCCTATGACACCATTTGTGTCCAATTTTCGGAATTTCACCTTGAGGACAAGGTGTCTTCTTGGCGGGTGGGTAATGATAGGCCTCCAATTGTTCATAAATATGTTAGGAGAAAGGGTAAGAAGGGAAAATAGGGAAATGGAATATTTGTATTGTGGGCCCAAGTTAGTTATGGGTTTTGGGCAATGAGTTGGTTATATATACAACCCCTGTAAAGAGGGGAGGGTATCTTTTGGCTAGTAGTTATTTCCTTGAGAGGGTTGAGAGGGTTAGGAGGAGAGGTAGGGGAGCTCTCAAATCTCCCTAAATACTGTAATTTCCCTCTATACCATAAATAAGAGGCAGTTCTTATCAATTAAGTACACAAATTTAACATTCACATTATTTAATGTTTCAAACTATCTAAAATTATCCTGCCATGTAATCCTAAAATAATACAACTAGTATGACACACAAATTTTTTTTTTCTCCTTTCTGTAACAAGATACGAAATTAAAATTGTTGAAAGGAAGAGTACCATCTCCCAATAGGAGAGAAAAAATAAAATAAAGGAAAGGGGAAAACATGAACCCATGGGGGAAATACAACCCAATTAAAACCAGAAATATAATAGACATAAATTGGGAGAGAAACTTTAGAGAAATCCATCCTTGGAGCAACTTGAGCCGCCACCTTTGAAGAAATTGAAGATTGACAAAGTCAAAGACGACCAAACGAAGCAAAGCAAATTAGAAAAATTACTGAACCAAGAATCTCACGTTGATGAAGGATGAATTCCTTATTGGATACGTGTCGCCATCCCGAGGAACTCAACGGTGCACTTTTGAGCTATAAGCCAAATGGCTGAACAAGGTCTCGAGCGGTCGAAGCAATATTCCGAGTCTCACACAAAGATCAAATAACTGTGTGACACTAAGCATTAAGCGAATTTTGAACCGAGGATCTTGTAGCGTGGTTATGCGTGCAATTTCCGGACGGTTATCACCATATCCACTGCAAACAGTTAATGCATGATCTTAGGGGTACACCACAATCTCGGTAGAGGATATTGCAGGCGTTTAATAACCGGTCGTGAGCTTACTATACCAAGGGTAAACTCACTCACAGGTACACGTCGATCTCGACTATCTTTGAGATTAATCAACTCGGACTTCTACTGGCTTGAGCGCTAGAGTGCTTACTTTTCCTTTTGTAGGTCTTCTCTCCATTGGGATTCACAAGACGTTTGAGTGTCAATTTTGTGCTCAAACATTTGGTGTCGTCCGTGGGAAACGACTGACAAGTAATTTGATATATCTAATTTCAAGATGACTCAAGGTGATTCCCAACGTGAAGAGGGTAGTTCCGTGCGAACACCCGACATGCAATGTAATGCTTAAGAAGCTCGACGCACACGAGGACGCTCACCTTTGGGTGCTACAGGTGATCGTACAGGCTCATTGCAGTAAGCTCGCCTGAAGCAAGAGGTCATAGGAATAAGGATTGAACTAAATGAGTTCAGGATCGAGTTGGGGTCCGTGGCACACTTGGTAGAAATAGCGGTGCTAACATGAGAGATGCTATAGAATAACTCGGCGGTTCTTCTCGTGATGGGGGAAAGATTACCTAACCAGCAACCACGGGTCAACTGCCCAACGAACTCCTTCACAGAAACTGAAGATCCCCCACCGTGGCGTGACCACGCTCAATGAGTGGCTAGGGCAAACTCTATATGATAGAGTGGGAGTAGAATCACCCTTTCTTCCACGAACAACTGACACCCAATTACCTTCTGCCTCGTAACCGACAGCTGCAACGGTTCCTGATTCGGTAAAGGCGATTATTGACAAGCTCCAAGGTGACTTCGAGAACTTCAAGCAGAGCTGCAAGAAGGGCGATCTGGCCCTCGAGGACGAAGACGACAAGCGGTAAGATCCCCCATTCACTGCAAACGTCATGGAAGAAGTTCAAGAAGCCGGACATGAAGCCCTATGATGGGACAAAGGACCTGATCGAGCTCGATCTGGTCCTCATGGAATTGAGTAGAGAGAGGGACGGAATGAAGTGTAGATCCTTCTCTATGTCCGTCACCGAGAAGGGAGCATGTGCTCATGGTATCGATAGTTGACGCTGAACACGATCTTAATGTGAAGTCAGTTGAGAAAGTTGTTTATTAATCAGTTCTCTGCCCAAACGACATGAAGAGGCCAGAGACAAATCTCCTTACTTTGCAACAATGTAATGGGAAGTATTTGCCAGAATACTAGAGTAGATTTCTTGCGGAGAAGATTAAGGTGGAAGATTGTACTGATGAGATGGCACAATTTATATTCATCTAGTCATTCAGACGTGACTCGACGATGTCTTATATCGAGTTGCTTCAACGCGCGGAAGGTACATGCACGGTGAAGGATTTGATGAGGTCCAAGCAGCATTGACATGAACAAAATCCCTAACCTTCAAGAGGCTAGGAAGGCGCGATAAGAAGGCTTCTAAAAAGCGACCTAACATCCAGAATTTCAACGAATATTACAACCTGTGAAACTAGCTTGATTGGGTGGAGAAAATCAAGTGTGATCTGAAGAAGAGAAATTCGAACAAGTATGGTAGGTTCTATCGGGATCATGGTCATGACACTCCGGATTATTATGACTTGAAGGATAAGGGCAATAAGCGAAAGAACGACAAAGATGACCGAGACCGCTCATCAGGCTCAAAAAGAAGAGAATGACCGCTGGTGATTAAAACCATCTTCAGTAGGCCTAGTGGAGGGCTGTCGGGAACAAGCAAAAGGCTCTCGTATGGGAAGCCAAGCATGAGGTTAACACCTCTTAGAGACACAACAGTTTAGGAAAATATTAAATTTTTAGAAAAAAATGTTTAGATACAGGATTAAAAAAAAGCAAAATATATATTTTAAAATTTTAAAATCATGCCTAAGCTAATGAGTTTGTGTGTTGACTAACATCTTCTGTTGCAGTTGCATCAAGAAGCATGGGTTAGATTTGTGATCCTGAGCATTGCTACCGTCATGTTATATGCATTTTATGGTCAGTATCATGCTAATCCGATTTCGGAAGGTTCGGGCATCTATTTTCGGGTTCCGGGATAGGAATCTAGATGCAGTATAGTAAATGGTATAGTCACATGTCTTATATCACATCGATTATTTTCGAAACCTTGTAGTATAGTGTAATACTTGAAGTAGTGTAATTGATAAGCCCTCTAAGAGGCTGTCATATAATAGATTTTGTATGATAATTAAATATGATTAGTATTAATATATGACAAATATAAATACACAAATGGAATTAAAATTGAACTGCAGTTTATTAGCCTCCTAAATAAGCATCAACTGAGATTTCATATCTTTTAATTTTATTAGGGAAACAAAAATGAGTGCAAAGCTGAGATTTCATATCTTTTAATTTTATTAGGGGAACAAAAATGAGTGCAAAAATATTGAAGTTATGTTTCTCAAATCTTTTAAAAATTAGAATCAATAATTAGCATGTACTCCCTTTTTGAGATTCGATGAGAAATTGGGATTTTTGACTATTTTAGGTTGGATTTTTGACCCACCCCTTTTTAATAACCTGTATATATATATATTTTTTATAAGATTTTAATAACTTGTATTTATGACCCTTCACATGTTTTTTTTTTTCATTTTTTTTAATATTTTTCAACTTTTACACTTGTGTAAAGACTAAAACCGAAATTGCATGAATTCCGACTCATAATAGCACAATCTGGAATTAGGATTATGCAAACTTGAACCAGGATCACATAATCCCGGACCGAGATAGTATAAAAATGCTATCTTGGTTTGAGATTGTGCTATCCCAGTCCAAGATTAGTGCTATCCCGGATTATGTAATCTCGATCAAGGATTGTGCAATTTTGGGCATTTATGCAATATGTAATTGTGGCCTCATTTTAAATCAAATCTCGGAGATTTATGCAATCTTGGTCCAAGCATGCAATCTTGACTTTTTTATTAAATTAAATCTGGACATTAATGCAATCTTGGACGAAGATGATGCAAATTCGATTTTGTAAATATGTAATAATTTTGACCATTTTTTTTAGATTTTTTCCATATTAGATTCGTAATTGATTCTTCAAATTAAAAAGATTTTTTTAGGTTATTCTTCAAATTAAAATGTTGACATTTTTTCCTTCAAATTAAAAGGAGAGTGAGGTTGAGGTTTAAGGTTATCAATATTTATATTCATGAGGTTTCATCTCAAAACCAATTGAAGAATAGCCCATTTCTATTATAAACCTAGGTAAGGTGTGAGATTGGCGGAGGGAACTAAAGATTGTGAAGAATTTCATTTTTTTTAAACGAGATATTTTGGTAATTTTACAAAGACAAAAAATGAAAGAAGAAAAAAATTAGAATAAGAGGGGTCATAAATAAGTTTTTTTTTAGAGGGATAAAAAATTTGAATGACTACTATACCAACTACATCTCAGGCCTCATCCTCAACAATACTTTCGGTCACCATGCACATGGAAGTAAAGAATCATTATCCTAAACCATCTCCTCCGGATATGGGGTGGGACGATCTCCGTCATGATCAACGAACTTATGACGGATCTTCTATAATCACTTGGAATATCGATGGATATTCTGAAGCTCAAATGATGAACACTTTCAAGAAATGATGATGGCAGCCACTGCTTTCAGCACCAAGAAGCCGGTTTTACAGACGGCCCACATCCTTATCTCTTTAGTTGTATCAAATCATGTTGAGACAAATGTCAAGACAATAGTAAGAAGCCAATAATTGTACCAAGTTGCAATTATCGGTTCTCTTCTATAAAGAGCACTTGGGCTCGACCCTTAATGGCATCAGAGCCTACACGACTCTTTCTCTCTTTTCTTTTCTCTCTCATGGAGTAAACTCCTCTCTGAATCAGGGGGTGGAAGGGATGATAGATCTAATATCGCTCTAAGGTTATATTCTTTCCTTTTGATTCTTAACCTATCTTTTAAATAAATCCAATTCGGGTATCTCTCTTGTTCAATCTTTTAATATTTTCTAGCTATCTATTCTCTGAAGTCATGATAAAGGCGTGGTTAACCTTCATGATTGAGAATTTCTAGTTAGGAGATATAAAAATGTTTGAATATAGATCGATTGATCAAAGAATTCGATTTAATTAACGGATAGATTATTATCAAAATAAAAGAATATGAACTTAGTAAGTTTTTATTTCCATCTCCTAGATATCTCCAGATTCCCTTTTCTCCCTTCTTATGCTGTCTAAGCTCCTCTCGAAAATCTCCCCCCATTCTCAGCCTATCGTCGACACAGCTTCCTCTTCCTCCTCTTCAAACAAGCAAAAATCAGAAAATGATTTTTCAAAGATTTTAGCCGAGCATAATTCAGCTGAAGCTCATCTGGCTAAGGTTGAAGATCGCCTCAAAAATTGGTCTATCCCCAAGATAGATCCAAACCAGGTATACAAGATAAATACTTTCAATTTCTCCCAGCAGGATGTTATTATCATCACCAAGGAGAACGTGGCCATGAAAGATGAATTCACAGAGATCACCCTTCTCCCTCAAGAAACCCTCTTCAGAGTCAGGAACAAATTCAAATACCTCCATATTGGATGCGTTCAAGTGGCTTTGAAGCCTCTCTTCAGAGAAAGCTTAGATGTCCCAGTTTATCTCGCCCTTCGAGATAAGAGACATCTCAACTTCACTCCCTCTCTACTAAGGATCGTCGAATCAAATCTGGTACAAGGACCAGTTTATTTCAACTGCAAACCAGGTCTTACTGTCTCTCTTCAAGATAAGAATATCATGGACGTACTAGGCATTCTGAAGGATTGGAGCTCAAAGACGGATCTCTTCCGTTTGCTGTTTCATATCGCATCTATTACAAATTGATGCATACCAACATTTCTCCAAAAGCACTTGGTGTCTCTCCAAAAGGTTACACCATGCTAATGGAAGTTAATCTCGAAAAATCTTCGATGACCATTCCGAAGACGCTTCGATGGGATGAAATCTCTAGAAACACTATCTGGAGACTTCAAGGAGTATCAGCCCCCGCTAGAAGGACTAATACGGAGGCATCAATCACCGAATTTCCATATGGAAATGTCGAAGTACAATTCAATTCTGAGGCAAGATATCCCAGAATTAGAGAAGTCATGAGCATCCGTCCAAGCGTATCTTCAGATGCAAGGTCGGTAAGCACTATTAATAGATCTTTTAAAAGATCTGAATCCATGCGAGCGTCAGTAGATTTCACTCATCCGATCCCTGACGTTCAGTATGAAGAAGGATCACTCTCTCCAACTCAATCCAACATGGAAAAGAGAACTGAATCCGCCTTCAATCAAATAAACGTAATCTCAAAACCTGAGAAGCGTTATGAAGAACTATACAGCAAATACATCGATATGTGGATTGTTGCACCAAAAGAAATAAGGAAACCCGTCATGACTATTGGCGATTTCACTTCCAAGATACAAGAACGAGTGCTAGTTAGGAACGAAGCTCTAGTCAAACAGCTCCAAGCCCAAGGACAGGTATCAGTCATAAAAAATGGCACTGTTTGGGTCACAGCAAGAGGCAAAAAAATAGCTTCCACCTTCCCTCCGGAAGAAGAGGCTACCTTCTCTCACCCAGTAATATCTGCCATAAAGATGATGTCTTCACCCTATAAAACAATAGATGAAGACAAAGTTCAGAAAGTTGGTGTTTGAGAGATTAAGAACATCCAACATCAACTCAACTACTCAAACAAGATCCTTTCCGAGGTATCTAAAGCTGTAGAAAGAATTGAGAATCTGGTTCTTCCTACTATCTCCAAAATCCCAGGGATCCTACCAGTAGACCCCTGCCAACCAATCTTTCAACCAAATCGTTTTAAGATTGGACCTCTCAAGGAAGACCCCTCAGATTTTTTTGCTGAGATCAACAAAAAACTTTCTTCTTTGTCCCTCGATAAAGGAGAATCTTCTCAAAAGAATGAGGTGGCCAAAAGTATAAATGTAGTGGCTACTATACCAACTACATCCCAGGCCTCATCCTCAACAATACTTCCGGTCACCATGCACACGGAAGTAAAGAATCATTATCCTAAACCATCTCCTCCGGATATGGGGTGGGACGATCTCCGTCATGATCAACGAACTTATGACGGATCTTCTATAATCACTTGGAATATCGATGGATATTCTGAAGCTCAAATGATGAACACTTTTCAAGAAATGATGATGGCAGCCACTGCTTTTAGCACCAAGAAGCCGGTTTTACAGACGACCCACATCCTTATCTCGGGTCTCTCTGGAAACCTAAGGAGCTGGTGGCATAACCAGCTAACCGACGAAGATAGAACAAAAATCCTGACGACGACTAAATCAGTTGTGAAGCAGGAAGGTTCTAACGCAATGCAGATTGATGAGCCAGACATGGTAAATCAATTAATCTATGCAATGACCAAGAATTTTATTGGTAGCACTCAAGTTTACTCAGATCTCAATGCCGAAGCTCTTTTAAGCCTTCGATGTCGAAAGATGAGTAACTACAAATGGTACAAAGACACCTTCCTAGCACGTCTTTATACTATTACAACATGCGGAGCAGAAATCTGGAAGCAAAAGTTCGTTGAAGGACTTCCATATTATATTGCTAAAAAATTCTACCAAACTGCGGCAACAAACTCTACAACTAATTGTATCGATTGGGCGGAGTTAACAATCGGGGACATTAATGCCACGATTCAACAAATATGCGTTAATATTTGTCTAGAGAATAAGCATACGGCCAAAGTCATCAAAGATCCCGACTACCGGAAGGAATTGGGAACCTTTTGCAAACAATATGGTCTTGACAACATACCTGAAGAAGAACGGAAGAAGAAGAAGAAATCTTCCAACAAACGGCTCTTCAACAAGAGTAGGTCAAAAGATTCCGAATTACCAAGGCGTAAAAGGAAATATTACAACAGGAACAAGGGAAAAAAGGACTATTCAAAGAATCGTCCTCATAAATCCTCTGTTACTTGTTACAAATGCAACCGCAAAGGACACTACTCCAGCAAGTGCCCTTTGAAGGACAAGATCAATTCTCTGACCATAGATGAAGAAACATGGCAATTTCTTCTCTATGCCATCAGAAGTGAAGAAGACTCCTCGAGTTCCGAATCTTCCACTGACAATGATGAGATCAACCTCATAAACGAAGAAGATTCTGACGAAGAGTCCTTTTTCTCTCAAAGTGATTCCTCTGAAGAAGATGAAATTATTCCCTGCACTGGCCATTGCACTGGAAAATGCTACGACCATATCAATGTCATCAGTAAAG